CCCCTCCTTGATTTCTTCCTTGTTTTTCTGTTAAGGAGAGAAGTTGACGAAACCAAGAATATACCCATAGTTTACCACTGAAGGTTAATCGTTAGAGACGATTCATAAACCTTCAATTATTACTAAAAAAAATGAAGATGTATTATCAAGATTTTTATGTCATTGACTGAGTACACTCAGAGCACTGTTGTTGATTACTTTTAGTTCACTTCATTTTAATCCTATTTCCATACGAGTTCCAAAAGGTCTTTTTTCTTTTCGAAAAAGATTTATCACAATTATAGTAATGACGGAAGTAAGTTTTCAATGCGTAGAAACAGTTTTTGGCAGTGGGTACGAGCATCCTTAAATGAAAGATACACGAGTTGTGTCCCCTGGCAGATTAACTATGTGTCGTAGGCTGATGTGTTTTTTTTAGTTTGTTAATTAATGGTGTTTTTCATTATCGCGGTCCTCTTCATACAATATACGGCACGATTTCACTGCAATTCGGTCATAATTCATCACAATGAGCGTGGCTATTTAATGACTTAACTCCGTAATAACATTGTGTATTTTTCAATCCACAAAATATATAATTCATGTATTAATAATCAATATTTTCAATTACCTTTCTGCTCGCTATACAAGCGTGTGTTTGAACGAAAGTTTGAAAAATGTGAGTAACGGATTTCTATGCCGTTTCTATTAAACAAAGCGTGCCGATATTCTGTGTGGAGTAGACAATTTGCGTATTACTTTTTGTGGAGTAACCATGTCACATTGTTATTATAATTGTAAGAAGCTTTTATTCAATATAGTTTTATTTTCCAGATCATAACCACTAATCACTAAGTAGAGTTTTCGTAGAATCTTGTTGCTTCTATACAAATCCAACGTCAGTTATTCAGATTGAATATCTTACTTAACAGTTAAAATGACGTACACAGGTATCTCCGTACAAGAAATTAAAATAAAATCTAAAAGCCAGTAAATAAAAATGTTTCTTGATTTTTTTTTTAGCAAAGTCGAAGCTCGTATGTCCCCCTTTTCTTTTCACGTCTCCTGTAAATTCGATATAATGCCACTCGCTGTTTTATTGTTTTAAACATATTTTATTGTAATTTGTATATAATGGGAGCTGGGCACAAGTGTAACAACTTATATTAAGCCCTTTCCCTACAATATATTAATACACAATTTTCAAGATGGTATATTACATAGAGAGAGAGACAGAGAGACAGAGAGACAGAGAAACAGAGACAGACAGAGACAGAGAGACAGAAACAGAGACAGGGAGAGAGAGACACAGGGACACAGAGACATACAGAGACAGACAATTATTGAGAGAGAGAGACAGAGAGACAGAGAGACAGAGAGGAAGAGACAGAGAGGAAGAGACAGAGACAGAGAGACTGAGACAGAGAGACAAAGAGACAGAGACAGAGAGACAGAGACAGAGAGACAGAGAGACAGAGACAGAGACAGAGACAGAGACAGAGAGACAGAGACAGAGACAGAGACAGAGAGAGAGAGACAGACAGAGACAGATAGACAGAAACAGAGACAGGGAGAGAGAGACACAGAGACAGGGAGAGAGAGACACAGAGACAGACAGAGACAGAGATACAGAGACAAAGAGACAGAGAGAGAGACAGAGAGACAGAGAGATAGAGACAAAGAGACAGAGACAGAGACAGAGAGACAGAGACAGAGAGATAGAGAGGAAGAGACAGAGACAGAGACAGAGATAGAGAGACAGAGACAGAGAGACAGAGACAGAGATAGAGAGACAGAGACAGAGATAGAGAGACAGAGACAGAGATAGAGAGACAGAGACAGAGACAGAGAGACAGAAACAGAGAGACAGAAATAGAGAGTGACAGATTGAGACAGAGAGAGAGAGACAGAGACAGAGAGAGACAGAGATACAGAGACAAAGAGACAGAGAGAGAGACAGAGAGGAAGAGACAGAGACAGAGAGACAGAGACAGAGAGACAGAGAGACAGAGAGACAGAAAAACAGAGACAGACAGAGACAGAGAGACAGGAACAGAGACAGGGAGAGAGAGACACAGAGACAGAGATACAGAGACAAAGAGAGAGAGAGACAGACAGGGAGACAGAGAGACAGAGACAGAGAGACAGAGAGGAAGAGACAGAGACAGAGACAGAGAGACAGAGACAGAGACAGAGAGGCAGAGACAGAGACAGAGAGACAGAGACAGAGAGGCAGAGACAGAGAGACAGAAACAGAGAGACAGAAACAGAGAGAGACAGAGAGAGACAGAGAGGGAGAGACAGAGACAGAGAGAGACAGAGACTATCAAGTCATCTTGTCATTTCGAATCTTCTAAAACTATGTACGGGTTTCTAAGCATTCCATTAAACATCAATGTTTTCGTTTTCCATAGACTTTTTATGCGAATCAATAAACCACATGTAAATCAATTGTTTGCGAGGTGAAATCATAAATGTTGGAAGATGTGTCAAACTTTAATGTCTAAGAAAGGTGAAGTAGTTCATTATTCATAGATACGTAACGTGTAATGTTACCAAACACTGGGTTCCTGCTCAAATAGCTTTCGCTTCAATTGGGAACCGTCGGCACTTTCCGTAAACGAGAAAATGGGCGTTTACAAAAAGTGCCGACGGTTCCCGATTGCTTTGCCTTGTGTTTCAAGAAAACTTCAAAATCTGTAGAAGCTTTAATAATGTTGTCTGTTTGCAAAACAAACATGCATTCAAGACTGATCTGTACATTATATGAGTCAAGTAACGATTGGAGAATCCAAAACGCGGTGGGAATCTTAAAACGTTTTATCGGGTCTGCCGTAAAAAGGACAGGCGAACGAGTGGACGGAAATTAAGACGCCATATTAGAATGTGAGTTCAAATTTATTTTTTAATTAGTGCTAAGCAAAATGAAATCAGCCGTCAACAGGGGTCAAATTCAAATGTATGGATGGTTACTTTTTGAACATCCCCACCCTTACGGGACATCGTGAGGAGGTTCACGCCGGAGTTCTTTTCGTTTCCGGCCACCATGTCAAAGGGGGATAACTGCATATATATTTGTGGCGTATGGGTTCGACCCACTGCGCAAGACCTGTGTCGCATTTCCAGATTTCAACTCCTAATGACCTCAGACCATAATTAATTCTACTATATGTTACTACCAAAGGAAAAATTAAATTAAATTATTTTAAAACTTTGCGCAGGGTCTGGTTCCTATGTCACATTGTAGGTCTATTCAAACTGAACATACAGTGAGCTGGAAAGTACCTCATAACCGGCATTTAAGAAAGATAATTTCATTTGAATGTCACTACCCTGCATGTATAGGGGAAAATACCAAAAATCACAAAATATCACTACTCAAGCCTCATCCCTCATTGTGTCCTGCTGCCAATGCAAACTTGGAAACTGTGTCAAATAAAATGTAATAACTAGAATAGATATTGTTGAACAATTGTTCAAAAAATTTACATATCTGTCATAGATCAGACAGGAAAAATTAATTAGTAACCCACCTGGAATGTCCTTATGCACTACATTCGTGTACAACGGCCCGGAAGTGTAATTGTGATATGAGGCCTTATAGAACAATATTTGATCCCGGCTACATTGCAGAAGTAAATATACTCTATTTTCTTTGTTTCTTAAATTTCTGACGGAACCACTTACCGTGGGGCCGTATTTATGAAACTGTTCTCATGCTCAAGCATGGATTTTGTGCTGAAGCCTAATTTCTTGTTCCGGTTAAAGATTAACAAAAGAAATCTTTGTTTTTGTCACTTATTTGGAAAACAAAGTGAAGGCCGTTATACTGTTTCCCAATTTTAATTTGATATTTTGATCGTTTGACATGACTTAAGTGAGTTACGGGAAAACTAGTTTGAATACATGGTACATGCTTGAGCATGAGAACGGTTTCATGAATACGGGCCCAAGTGTCGCTTGTGCTATGTTCGAATTTTAGTGGAATTCTAAGGTAAACATATCCTGTGGCTATTAGTCCCGCATTCGACTCCTACTGGAAGCGCTCACTGCCGCTAGTCCAGGGTTCGATTCATAACAGAAGACATTTTGGTTCCATACACATTGTCACCAGCGTGTAACCGCTTGTACTTATAAGTAAAAGACAATAGCATGACGTCATGATCGGTAAAATAGAGATACCCTCTTGTGACGTCATATACTTGTTGCTAAGCTGCTTAGCAATCGGCGAACGCGGAGATGATTAGTCTCTCCCCTGATTTTTACTTCTTTTGTTTAAATCTTCGATTACCACAATGAATTTCAGGTTACTCTTGATATTTATGGTAATGATGTGCGCCGCGCACCAAGGGCCTGCTGTATATCGGGACCTTACGTGGTAAGTTTGGACCAGAAATGGTAAGATTGGATCTTATATGTTATTCTTTGACTTGACACTGCGCAAAGATCTCGCGGAGCTCAAATGAACGTTAATAACCTTTTCAACTTTACGATTGTGTTTTCATTGCATGCTTAGAAATATTTACTCTTTACTTTATAATTTTAACTCTGTAGTGTGGAGCCCAAGCCAGGATATGCCAAAAGATTGTTTTATTATTTCACCGCAAGTGAAATTGAGAAAGTCTGTCCAACGGTTACCGAGCTGACATGGGTAAGGACTATTACGTATTTTTTAATGATAATGACTGTCATGAAAACGTGAACCTTTTTTATTTTACTAATAGTTAAGTAAGCTTATGCTTGTGATGATGTTAATCTAATTCTGCTTTTCATCAATTTATTAAATACCTGGTATGCTTTTCGCGTGTGCATTTCGTTTCGTATGATTTTCTTGTGTGTATTTCGCAATATTGTTAGTCACCAGCTATGCTTTGTTAGTGTCCAGTTTTGACAAAAACGGCTTTCTTCTACATTGTCCGTATCTTAGGAATTCGCGGGCCTTGAACATTGAATGTTTGTATTATAGTACAATTCCCTGAAAATAATTATGATTTGATTTATTTTAGCGAATTGGAAATGAGGTATTCTATAATTTGCTGTGTGTGCTTCTTACCCTGCTGTTGGGCTATGCGCCGTCGGTCGGAAAAATCGTCAAACAGAAATGGTCAGCCGCCGTGTCAATGTTACAAGAATGGAGAGCTCGTAAGTAACCAGCGAAGGTTAAAATATTGAATAAAGCAGCAGTCTAATGAATGTATTAGTTTTCTCACATTCAGTACTAGTGGGTTTTTTACCTTGTAATTGAGACGTTTTCGAAAATTAATGAACTAATTAATGAATTTTATGAACCTAGAGTTGTAAAACTACCTTAACGCGCCACCTTGCGGATGATTCATGTTTGCTAGCTTGGACACCATTTCAGATTCTTGCATACCTGTGTTCTCAGAGCAATGTTTTGATTAAATATTAAAGTGAATTGTTTGATAACGTAGCGTTTAAATGTGATCTCGATATACTTTAAGTTCAGAGTAGCTCTTTGGTCATGTTTAAAATACAGGAATCACTTTCTATAAGCCTTGTAATTTGTCAGATTTGTGTGTCTGGAACCAGTCAGATAGGTAACTGTTAGTCCCCGATTCCGTTCTGATAAAATTTCAGGATGTATAGAAAGTAATGTTTTGTGTGTCGAAAACTTAAACCTTGGATTTCGAAAATTTGTCTTGACATATTAAATATTTGTTTGTGCAGGTCCTTCCCTCTGCCGTCACTGCGGTACTGCCCCGTGTCAGGTTAAAAGGATATCCTTGCTGAAGCCCTCCGGTACTCGTAAGAAAGACAAGGCGAATTTCGCAAAAAGGTCAAACGCCATTATGTTGTTTTACTATGGACTAGAGTTGGCCGTGGTACTGACCAAAGAGCTGCCATGGAATGACCTGTACTTGGAGAGGAAACTCGTCCAGCATTTTGAGGAGGAGCATATGGTGTTGTTCCCACTGTGCATCCAGCGTCATATCAACTACTGGTACCCTGTCCCTCGCTAGGTATGTACTCTGTCCCTCAACTGGTACTATGTCCCTCGCTTGATTGGTGTTATATCCCTCTCTAGGTCACTTGCTAAATTGGTACAACATTGTATATCCCTCCCTTTGTACTCTGTCCCTTGATATGTTGGTACTCTATCTGAATAAATACAGCTGTTCATTATCACGTACCGCATGAACTTTTTTTATTAACATCTGATTTTAATGAGATTGGTTGGTACTATGTCCCTGTTAAGAACCCTGTCCCTCGCTAGGAACACTGTCACTCACTATTTCCTATGTCCCTTGCTAGGTAGGTACTATTCCTCTCTTGGTACTATATCCCTCCCTGTGTACTCTGTCCCTTGATAGGTTGGTACTATGTCCCTACTAAGTACCCTGTCCCTCGCTAGGAATACTGTCACTTACTATGTCCTATGTCCCTTGCTAGGTAGATACTCTTCCTCTCCTGGTACAATGTCCCTCCCTAAGTTCTCTGTTCCTCGCTAAGAAAACTGTCACTGACTAGGTCCTTTGTCCACTGCTAGGTAGAATGTAGGTACTATATCCCTCTCTAGGTACCATATCCCTCGCTACGTTGGTACTACATCCCTCTCTAGGTACTATGCCCCTCGCTTTATTGGTGTTATATCTCTCTCTAGGTCCCTTGTTAAATTGGTACTATAGCCCTCCCTATGTAATCTGTCCCTTGATATGTTGGTTCTACATCCCTCTCTAGGTACAATGTCCCTCCCTAAGTTCTCTGTCACTCGCTAGGAACACTACAACTGACTAGGTCATTTGTCCCTTGCTAGGTAGGTACATGTACTATATCCCTCTCTAGGTAAATGTACCGTATCTCTCGCTACGATGGTAGTATATCCCTCTCGAGATACCATGTCCCTCCCTAAGTTGGTACAATATCCCTCTCTAGATACCATGTCCCTCCCTACGTTGGTACTATATATCTCTCTATGTACCATGTCCCTCCATACGTTGGTACTATATCCCTCTCTAGATACCATGACCCTCCCTTGGTTGGTACTCTATCCCTCTATAGATACCATGATCCTCGCTAAGTTGGTACTATGTCCCTCTCTAGATACCATGATCCTCGCTAAGTTGGTACTATGTCCCTCTCTAGGTAAATGTACCATATCTCTCGCTACGATGGTAGTATATCCCTCTCGAGATACCATGACCCTCCCTACGTTGGTACTATATCCCTCTTTAGATACCATACCTCTCCATTGGTTGGTGCTATATCCCACTTTAGGTACCATGTCCCTCCCTTGGTTGGTACTATATCCTTCTCTAGATACCATGTCCCTCCCTTGGTTGGTACTATATCCCTCTATAGATACCATGATCCTCGCTAAGTTGGCACTATGTCCCTCTCTAGGTACCATGACCCTCCCTACGTTGGTACTATATCCCCCTTTAGATACCATACCTCTCCATTGGTTGGTGCTATATCCCACTTTAGGTACCATGTCCCTCGCTAATTTGATACTATGTCCCTCTCTAGGTACTATGTCCCTCTCTAGGTACCATGCCCCTCCCTTGGTTGGGACTATATCCCTCTCTAGGCACCATGTCCCTCGCTAAATTTATACTATGTCCCTCTCTAGGTACCATGTCCCACCCTAAGTTGGTACTATATCCCTCTCTAGGTACCATGCCCCTCCCTAAGTTGGTACTATATCCCTCTCTCGGTACCATGATCCTCGCTAAGTTGGTACTATGTCCCTCTCTAGGTACCATGTCCCTCGCTAAATTGGTACTATATCCCTCTCTAGGTACCATGTCCCTCCCTTGGTTGGTACTGTATCTCTCTCTAGGTACCATGTCCCTCGCTAAATTGGTACTATATCCCTCTCTAGGTACCATGACCCTCCCTTGGTTGGTACTATATCCCTCTCTAGATACCATGTCCCACCCTAAGTTGGTACTATATCCCTCTCTCGGTACCATGTCCCTCGCTTAGTTGGTACTGTATCCCTCTCTAGATACCATATCCCTCCCTTAGTTGGTACTATATCCCTCTCTAGGTACCATGATCCTCGCTACGTTGGTGCTATATCCCTCTCTAGGTACCATGTCCCACCCTAAGTTGGTACTATATCCTCTCTAGGTACCACGTCCCTCGCTAAGTTGGTGCTATATACCCCTTACTAGCTACTTCCCCTGACTAGCGAGTTTAACTTGTCCTCGCCAAGAAGTTTCCTCCCCAAAATTAAAAAATATGGGATAGATTGTATTGATTTTAAATAATCAATTTCATAATATATTCTTAATTAATTTTCCGTAATGACAAAACTACAATGCATTACAACATTTTCTGCAGTGGAGAACGGACAGATTGTGAATTACGTTTACGTGACATTTTAATATTTATTTATTTCATTGCAGATTCGTTTCGCCGTTCAAAGAGAAGAATGTAGATTGCGGTCGGTGATGGAATAGAAGTTTGAGATTGACGTCTGAGACTCGAGTTTATTGTTGTTGTTGTTTTGGATCACGAACCGATCCGATTGGAATGGTGTTCGGCTAATGTTATATTGTACCTTTTATTTGTTATATTGAATTGTAACTCTATGGATCTTGACCACTAGTGGTGTAACGGAACCGATACCTGATGAATTGGCCCTTTATAACTTAGCTAGTTTTGGCCAGCAGTGGTCCAATTTACAAGTTTCGATGGTGTTTGTTTGATTGGTCAATTGCTATTGGCCATTAGGTGATTTGAGTAGTTGTGGAGCTGGAAAGTTGACTTATTAGCATATTGGTCAGTTCGAAATCGGTCCGCCTTATGTAGATGTTCCCGGTATTTATTATATTGGCAAGTTAGAACGTTGTCGATCTCAACTGTTTAGTAATGTTTTGAGAAAATTTGTCAAATACTCAACAACGTAAAGGCCAGCTCAAACCACTAGTGGTTCCAGGCTGATGGCGGCCATAATGTCGAAAGGTTCTACCTCTGGCACATATTGAAAGCCATCGGTCCCTCGTACGTTTATGCCATGCTTAGTATTTTGGCATATCAAAATGGATTGAATCTGCAATGATCGCTAATGGCATGGTCTGATTGTGTTGTCGTGGTCAGCTATACACTCGGTCAAACTGACCCACAGGTTCTGTAAAATTACCAACATGCATAATTCTGTTCATTTTGTACTGGTCAGTTTTGCTTTTGCGAATTTGTGTAGTAACAATCATGTGATCAATACAATTCTTCAAACTGATTTTCGTGTTCATATTATATTTTTGTAACCATCGTTATAAACATGTCATAGTTTCGTACAAACGTATGAAATGCCATGCATTGAAGTGAGACTTTGTTTTAATGAAACCGTTCTTATGCTCAAGCATGGATTCTGTGCTCAAACCAACTCTGTTACTCGCTTAAATAATGTGACACGATCAAAGAGTCAACTGTTAACATTGAAAATATACTTCGGCATTTAAACTCCATAATTCTTCCAAATCGTTGACAAAATGTTTATTTTACATTTATCACTGGAACAAGATATTGGGCTTGAGCACAGAATCTGGGTTTGAGCATGATAACGTCTCCGTGAAAACGGCCCCTTGACTTACGGACATTCTCTAAATTCGTTATGTATCATGGTTTATTTTTAAAGAAGCTGATTTATCTCCGTATTTTACGGATACCCTGTCAAATCTGACTATATATCATGAAGTCCTCACTGATGTTCGGTATATGGATATATATAAAAAGAAAAAATAATCAAAAACACCGTCACGTCCTTAGCACAAAGAGATTCTGCATGCTTATCTCACCAAACTATTTCAGAAAGATGTACTCCCATGATGATTGTCAACAAGCGGTTCCTGGCATTCATGGCCTAGATGAATGTCATCTGAATGTGGTAGGACGGCAATGGCATACAATTATTAATATTTCTTATAATTCTATATAATGGGCCCTAATAAATCTTGTCCAAATTAGTGGTTATCGATATTCCAGGCAGAAAATGCAACTCAACATAATGCGTTAGTGATAAGTGTGTTTATACACACTTTCAATATTTCGATCGTGACCAAGACACGTGACATTAAAAAAAAAAATCCCCGGAAAATTAACAACTATTAATATTTTACATATTGAACATATCGAGCTAATATTTGATATGATTTTCACTGGAATTTTAAAAAAAAAATCATTATCACATGAAAATAATTTTATATTTCTATGATATTATTCCTGCTTCATATTCAGGATATTGTCTGATCCCATGCGCCTGTGACTACAGGGACTGGAGAATTTTTACAGTTGTATTTGGATCAAATTATCAGGTCCCTGTGTCTGTGACAGGAACATACGGACCGGTTTTGTCAATTCTGTCCTAGATATCGGTTTGCTACATCGCAAAAACAAAATGGTAAAATTCCGCTAGTAATCTCATATCTTCTGTAGAAAGTTTTGCATCACGTGTAATAAAATCTAACAGTGCTGCGATTGGTCAAAACCGTGGGAACATATTCTTACGCCACTGCAAGTACTACTTTTATCTTAATTTTACTATATCAAATGATACATTTACTGTTATTTTGAATGAATTTGAACTGTTTGTTTTGATATTTGTATTTACATTGCATTTAAAACTGTTTAATATTAAACAAACCTAATCTAGAACTACTTTGCAATACGCGGAACGACAATACTGTGATCACCGTACTTTGGTTTTGACCTTTATAGAGTCAGCTGATAACACATATTTGTGTTTGAATTTGTTTCAAATCATAAATATAATGTGATAAATAGAATCTTACATGAGTGTCCATGTCGCAATAAATTCAATATGACATGGACACTCCATGCATAACATGATGGTTCGAAGGGTTTTGAATAACAGCATCAAAATGTAAAGCGTGGTTGTTTGTCACTATTGAAAATTCCCTTTTTTATCGAATTTACATTTAAATTAGGACCAGGTTATGGAGAAGGGTTTTTATCACTTTTTTCAATTTGGTTAATTTGTTGTTCTATTTTAAGGTTTTTTCTAAATGGGATAATTAGCATAATAGAAAAAAAAACTATAATAGCTTTAACGGAAACAAGACCATTCGAACCACTCGAGTGATTTAGGAGTCGATGACTGATTTCGTGAAATCGATATTGTTATCGAGGTCAAATTTATCGATTTTTGTTTGAAATCTAACTGAGTTTAAAAACAAGGTCGAAGTTTTTCCTGATTCCCATGACATTTCAACGGTATAGCGTTAGTTTGATATATGAACTGAATATTTCACGATTATTGACAAATCACTAGATTTTATGATAGAAAAGGGGAAGAACCAGGAAGGGATGCTGAAGGGGTCGAACATGTTGAGGTTTTAAGGGAAAGTAATGGGTAATGAAAAGGGTAAACGTTTTAGGGGGTTAGGGTTGGGGGGGGGNAAGGGGGCGATTGCAATGTAAATGATGATTTTGTTACTTAACTTATGTGTTTAGAAATTGCTAGTACACCCGTATATACAAATGTACCATAATGTAGGGGGGACGCAGGGGGGAAGGGGGGTCCCAAGAGTTGATCTATATTAGTAGGTGAGGAAGTGGAAGTGGCGACAGATGCATTATGGGTAGATACCAGAGGTTAGGTGAATATAGGAAGACGAGATGACATAACCGAAATAAGAAAATAAAAAGAGAAAAAAAACACTTTAATATCGCCTCTTGTTGTACGTATGTTGTCTCTTGATTTAAATTTTAGTGAGTCTAAGCGAAATGATATTATTCAAATCTTAAGAAAAGAAGTAGGCTAGAAAAAGGAGGAGAGGGGTGGGGGCTTCAGATGCCAATCAAGAACACCGACTCACTGCCACTAACCCCCAACCCATACTTTTACGTTTTGTATTGTGATTATGAACCCCATAACAATTATACAAAAAGGTAGATAAAAAATACCTAAAGCCTTAGACATCTTGACAATATCATTAATTACACTACACGTCTCGGGGAGTATTTGGCCATTAACAAGGACAAGTCCTATCTTTTAGTGTGAATGGGTTGATTGGTTTTTACACGGCCTCTTAAAAACGTCGGGTATTTATAGATATTTATGTGTAATATTTAAATTTTAATTCCTTATTTGGATAATTATTATAATAGGATAAAAACACCTACAATCGGGTTTTTTATATCGGAATCAAGACATTCGAACTACTGAACAGGATGTTTTCCAAATACTAATTTAAAAGCGTAATTTATATATTTATTATTCATTTGAAATTTACACTCGAGAGATTTAGGCGTTGATGACTGATGATTTCGTAAAATAAATATTGTTATCGATGTAAAATTTATCGATTTTTGTTTCAAATGACTTTAATTTCTTCACGTTTGCAATCTGAGCAGGCTGGAGTTTCTCGATTCGCATGAAAAATTAACTGAAAACAGTGGATGGAATTTCAACGGTAAAGCGTTAGTTTGATATCTGAACTGAATATTTCACAATTATTGACAAATCACTGGATTTTATGATAGAAAAGGGGATGAATCAGGAAGGGATGCTGAAGGGGTCGAACATGTTGAGGTTTTAACGGAATGTAATGGGTAATGAAAAGGGTAAAAGTTTTTATGGGGTGGGGGTTGGGGGTTGGGGAGTTGGGGGTTGAGGGCAGGTAGGGGAGGGGATGAAGGGGGCGGAGATACTTCGAGGTTTTGCTTGAAATATTCAGGACCGAAAAGGGGGCGATTGCAATGTAAATGAAGATTTTTTGCCTAACTTATGTGTTTAAAAATAGCTAGTACACCCGTATATACAGATGTACCATAATGTAGGGGGCAAGCGATCGAGGTCCCGAGAGTTGATCTAAACCTTTTATCTTTACATATCAGGATAAGTCCAAACCTACCAATTGTAACAAATTATCGGGTCCCGATGGATAAGAGATGCAAAAAGGACATTGAAGGCGACCATGAGTAGGTGAGGAAGTTGAAGTGGCGACAGTTGCATTATGGGTAGAGACGAGAGGTAGGGTGAACATAGGAAGACGAAATGACATAACCCAAATAAGAAAATAAAATAAAAACAACAACTTTAATTTCGAAGTTTAACGTACTGTTGATATGTACTTCGCCATATAAAATGCTTGTTGTGCATATGTTGTCTCTTGTTTCAAACTATTGTGAGTCTGAGCGAAAAGAGATTTTTCAAATCTTAAGAAAATAAGTAGGCTATAGGACAGTGGGAGGAGGGGGTTCTCAGAGGCTACCCATAACACACACCACACACACACCACACACACACACACCCATACCCCAACCCCGTACTTGTAATCTCTGTATTGTCATTTTGAACCCCATTACAATTAAATATTAGACGTGGCGCAGTTCCAAATAAATAATGGAAGATACAAAGTACTTAATGCCGTAGAAATCTTGACAATATCATGAATATCAAATATTACACATCTCAGGGAGTGTTTCTCCATTAACAAGAACAAGTCCTATCTTTTAGTGTGAATGGGTGAATGGATTTTTACACGACCTCCTAAAAACGCCGGTTATTTATGTGTGTGTGTGTGTGTGTTTCTCTTTATACATAACCTAAGTGTCCATTAACACATACTGTATTCTAAACACAACAGACTTTCCAGGTAGCGGTGTCGTGTTTATAAAATAACACTAGTTTTGACTTTTAAATTGTGGTCACTGGGTCGTTAATATAATAACGCGAAACGTGAAGAAACGAAATAGCGATAACAAACATTAAATCTGTAAAGATATCGTGTAAGTTAGAGTAGGTCACATCAAATAGAGGCCTACTTATAACTGTAATGTTTATCTTAAAACGAACCTCCGATTTACACCTGAAAATCAAAGGTAGGTCAACTTACCTGTATAATCACGCAACAGGTAAAATTCCAATTTTCACGTCAGGAATCCATGTGTGTTAAATCTCTTAAATAAATCCAGCACCGAAGGTATACTTAATTCCATTTCAATGTTGATTTAAAATTTCCATAATTTTCCAATTAATCCGTATCCCGTTGAATTCGTTCGATAATTCACACGAAATGCCACTATGAAATGAGGGAGTTCATTTCCTTTCTCATTTCATTTATTTAATTGATTCCGAAATTCCAGAATTAAAAACACAAAAATCACAGTTTCTTTTTAAAATCCCACAAGTCTATTAACGAACATTTCTTAATGATTTAGAAATAAAAGACGCATGTGAATGAAAATTGTGTGTTACAGACACAATGCAGACAACATGAAGATACCATTTTCGACAGATTCTAACTCAAAAGCTCGTTCTAGCTAGTATAGGATTTAACACACTATAGGTGATAGTACAGGTATATTCTGTTTAAATGTCTTCCGAACTATACACATTTCGGAATAACCCATTATGATAGTCAGTTATAAAATATTTCAAGAGGTATAACGGCTTCCGGTCCCCACCAGTTCGCCTGCCAATCTGGTGGTCAGTTACGTTGAATCAATATCCCAGGTGTGACGCAGTCATCTTTGGTCCGCTTGTTCAGCTACAGGTAATAGCTACACAGGACAGATAGCATGTGCCGATACCACTGAAGTGTTCGCCTGACGCGTTTAGTTGGCTTACAGATCGCAAAGGTATTGAAATTAAAACGCGCCTGAATGTATACTTACCTGATAATTATGTTCTACTTATCTATCAGCCACGAAAGACACACCTGTGTTGTGTATTTACCTGTACAGTGACGATTCCTAAGGAATATACTACATAATATAATTATATATTTTCTCCTACTTAAAAACACATATTGGGCTCTTCTATGACAGTGAAGTTTGTATCGCGTATTATAACCTTAATGACGAAATCCATTTACAAAATGGTTTTAATGTAGGAAAATGTCTGCTTAAATTGCTATTTTATGAGGTGTTTTCATTTAAAGGTGATTTTTTTGGCTGTTATACTAAGCTATATTGGTAAAGTGGACGTTTTTGAATCTGTGGTATTTTCATAATTGTAAAAACTGAAATAAAATTTACATGTTTTGAAATTCAAGACGATCATTTTCAAATAATATATTTCAATAAACTTTTTATTTTCGCACACGTACTCAATCTAACTAAGCTTAATACCCTGTCGTACCTGTAATTCGCAACACACTTTTATTAGAAGGAAGTTTTTGAAATTTCGTTCGTAATTGAACAAATTAACGGAAAAGACTCGCAGCTTAGTATCTGCAGGCACCGCTATATAAGCGGAGTTCGTAAAGATGTGTAGCATACCAGAAAATTACTCCATTAAAAGTACATTTATAAGGTCAATGTTCGCGAAACCATAATTCTTAAGAGAACTGCTACGTCCTGAAGGTGGCTGGATTATCTACTGGGAATGTAGGTGGCTAGATTATCTTCTGGGAATGTAGGTGGCTGGATTATCTACAGGGAATGTAGGTGGCTGGATTATCTACTGGGAATGTAGGGGGCTAGATTATCTACTGGGAATGTAGATGGCTGGAGTATCTACTGGGAATGTAGATGGCTGGAGTATCTACTGGGAATGTAGATGGCTGGAGTATCTACTGGGAATGTAGATGGCTGGAGTATCTACTGAGAATGTAGGGGACTGGATTATCTACTGAGAATGTAGGTGACTGGAGTATCTACTGGGAATGTAGATGGCTGGAGTATCTACTGGGAATGTAGATGGCTGGAGTATCTACTGGGAATGTAGATGGCTGGAGTATCTACTGGGAATGTAGATGGCTGGAGTATCTACTGAGAATGTAGGGGACTGGATTATCTACTGAGAATGTAGGTGACTGGATTATCTACTGAGAATGTAGGTGACTAGATTATCTACTGGGAATGTAGGTGACTAGAGTATCTACTGGGAATGTAGGTGGCTAGATTATCTACTGAGAATGTAGGTGGCTAGATTATCTCCTGGGAATGTAGGTGGCTGGATTATCTACTGGGGATGTAGGTGGCTAGATTATCTACTGGGAATGTAGATGGCTAGATTATCTACTGGGAATGTAGGTGACTAGATTATCTACTGGGCATGCAGGTGGCTGGATTATCTACTGGGAATGTAGGTGACTAGAGTATCTACTGGGAATGTAGGTGGCTAGATTATCTTCTGGGAATGTAGGTGGCTGGATTATCTACAGGGAATGTAGGTTGCTTGATTATCTACTGAGAATGTAGGTGGCTGGATTATCTACTGGGAATGTAGATGGCTGGATTATCTACTGGGAATGTAGGGGGCTAGATTATCTACTGGGAATGTAGATGGCTGGAGTATCTACTGAGAATGTAGGTGACTGGATTATCTACTGGGAATGTAGGTGGCTGGAGTATCTACTGGGAATGTAGGTGGCTAGATTATCTACTGAGAATGTAGGTGGCTAGATTATCTCCTGGGAATGTAGGTGGCTGGATTATCTACTGGGGATGTAGGTGGCTAGATTATCTACTGGGAATGTAGGTGACTGGAGTATCTACTGGGAATGTAGGTGATTGGAGTATCTAATGGGAATGTAGGTGACTGGAGTATCTACTGGGAATGTAGATGGCTGGAGTATCTACTGGGAATGTAGGTGACTAGATTATCTTCTGGGAATGTAGGTGGCTGGATTATCTACAGGGAATGTAGGTGGCTGGATTATCTACTGGGAATGAAGGTGGCTGGATTATCTACTGAGAATGTAGGTGACTGGATTATCTACTGGGAATGTAGGTGACTAGATTATCTGGGAATCTAGGTGACTGGATTATCTACTGGGAATGTAGGTGACTAGAGTATCTACTGGGAATGTAGGTGGCTAGATTATCTTCTGGGAATGTAGGTGGCTGGATTATCTACAGGGAATGTAGGTGGCTGGATTATCTACTGAGAATGTAGGTGGCTAGATTATCTCCTGGGAATGTAGGTGGCTGGATTATCTACTGAGAATGTAGGTGACTAGATTATCTACTGGGAATGTAGGTGACTAGAGTATCTACTGGGAATGTAGGTGGCTAGATTATCTACTGAGAATGTAGGTGGCTAGATTATCTACTGGGAATGTAGATGGCTGGAGTATCTACTGGGAATGTAGGTGACTAGATTATCTTCTGGGAATGTAGGTGGCTGGATTATCTACAGGGAATGTAGGTTGCTTGATTATCTACTGAGAATGTAGGTGGCTGGATTATCTACTGGGAATGAAGGTGGCTAGATTATCTACTGGGAATGTAGGTGCCTGGATTATCTACTGGAATGAAGGTGACTTGATTATCTACTGGGAATGTAGGTGCCTGGATTATCCACTGGGAATGTAGGTGCCTGGATTATCTACTGGAATGAAGATGGCTGGATTATCTACTGAGAATGTAGGTGACTGGATTATCTACTGGGAATGTAGGTGACTAGATTATCTGGGAATCTAGGTGACTGGATTATCTACTGGGAATGTAGGTGGCTAGATTATGTACTGGGAATGAAGATGACTGGATTATCTACTGGGAATGAAGGTGGCTAGATTATCTACTGGGAATGTAGGTGCCTAGATTATCTACTGGGAATGTAGGTGGCTAGATTATCTACTGAGAATGTAGGTGGCTAGATTATCTACTGGGAATGTAGATGGCTGGAGTATCTACTGGGAATGTAGATGGCTGGAGTATCTACTGAGAATGTAGGGGACTGGATTATCTACTGAGAATGTAGGTGACTGGATTATCTACTGAGAATGTAGGTGGCTGGATTATCTACTGGGAATGAAGGTGGCTGGATTATCTACTGGGAATGTAGGTGGCTAGATTATCTACTGGGAATGTAGATGGCTGGAGTATCTACTGAGAATGTAGGTGACTGGATTATCTACTGAGAATGTAGGTGGCTGGATTATCTACTGAGAATGTAGGTGACTGGAGTATCTACTGGGAATGTAGGTGGCTGGAATATCTACTGGAATGAAGGTGACTAGATTATCTACTGGGAATGCAGGTGCCTGGATTATCCACTGGGAATGTAGGTGCCTGGATTATGTACTGGAATGAAGATGGCTGGATTATCTACTGGGAATGTAGGTGACTGGATTATCTACTGGGAATGTAGGTGACTGGATTATCTACTGGAAATGTAGGTGGCTGGATTATCTACTGGGAATGTAGGTAGCTGGATTATCTACTGGAATGAAGGTGACTAGATTATCTACTGGGAATGTAGGTGACTAGATTATCTACTGGGAATGTAGGTGCCTGGATTATCCACTGGGAATGTAGGTGCCTGGATTATGTACTGGAATGAAGATGGCTGGATTATCTACTGGGAATGTAGGTGCCTGGATTATCTACTGGAATGAAGGTGACTTGATTATCTACTGGGAATGTAGGTGCCTGGATTATCCACTGGGAATGTAGGTGCCTGGATTATCTACTGGAATGAGGATGGCTGGATTATCTACTGAGAATGTAGGTGGCTGGATTATCTACTGGGAATGTAGGTGTCTGGACTATCTACTGGGAATGTAGGTGTCAAGATTATCTACTTGGAATGTAGGTGGCTGGATTATCTACTGGGAATGTAGGTGACTAGATTATCTACTGGGAATGTAGGTGGCTGGATTATCTACTGGGAATGTAGGTGGCTGAATTATCTACTGGGAATGAAGATGGCTGATTTTTTTACTGAGAATGAAGATGGCTTGATTATCTATTGGAAATGAAGGTGGCTGGATTATCTACTGGAGACAAATGTGGCTGGATTATCTACTGGAGACGAATGTGGCTGGGTTATCTACTGGAAATGAAGGTGGCTGGATTATCTACTGGACACGAATGTGGCTGGATTATCTACTGGAGACGAATGTGGCTGGATTATCTACTGAGAAGAAAGTTTGCTTGATTATGTACAGAAAACAAAAAAGGTCGTAAATATATTCGAGAAAGAAGATGTCTTTTTATGACATTTCCCATCTGAAATTAACTTAAGATGGTACGCTACCCCGCACAACATTTACGTAAAATGTACATGTGATTTTAAAGTTATCCCCCTTCCTTATTTGTATCATGGCTTACATTATATACTTAATTAGATAAACATGCATGCTATTACGGTATTGATTCTTACGATCCGTCTATTTAATCAATTGATTATAACATCAGTACATGATATAGTACGGGTTTTCGTATAGTAGAGCTCTTCTGGAACATTGCTATCACTTCAAGGTACCAAGCATCCTTAATATGTCGGGGTTATTTCCTACCAAACTTATTAAAAAATTAGCACGAGTTTCAAATAGATACAGGCCTTTTGCACTATTTAACCCTGCTTATAACGGAAAACGATAATTTGATAATATCGATTTCGGAATCGATTTAAAAAAAATACACGTCATTGCTATTGTTTTACGGCTTAATTGACTGAAGCCTCAGGCTGAAAATCTTTTCCACTGAAAAGTCCCGTAGAAGAGCCTCAAATAGTCCACTCTAAAGGGATATAATTATCTCAGTATAACATGGATAAATATTCCCTTTCTAATTATTACGTCATAAAAAAA